AGCCGTGCGGCAGCTCCCCACCCCAGCTCACCTCCGCTCTGCCTCCTCTCCGAGCACGCCGCCCCCGCTCTAATTGTCCTCCCCTCCCAGGCTTGTGGCGCCAAACAGCTGATTGGCACTGCAAGTCTGGGAGGCGGGAGAAGTGGCGCGGCGACCGCGCGCTCAGGGAGGGGGCGTAGGAACGCTGTAAAAAAAAATTGGGGGTCACCGCTTTTTGGCGCCCCCAAATCTTGGTGCCCTAGGCAACCGCCTAGTTTGCCTTAATGGTAGCACCGACCCTGCTCACTGCAGGATCAGGGCTGTAGATAGTAAATTTCATAGAGCAGGAACTGTCTTTCCTTCACAATCTGATCCCTGATTGAAGGCTTTAGGACACTGCTGGAATATACATAACAATGACTCAGTTGTGTGCACTTTAACCCACAGTGTTTCTTCAAACCCCAGACATGGTGATAAGAGTCTTGGGCTGGTTAGAAATGAATGGGAGGTGGGCAGTGACAATGCAGTGGAGTCCAACAGCAAGGAGGTGAGCCTATCACCCATCACAAAAGCCTGATCTACCAAAACTGGTCTATGGATCAATCATTGGGAACAATGGTGCTTGGGTCCTGTTTCCATCCTGACTTCCACTGACTTCAGTAGGAGTTGGAGGAGGCTCCAGGTGAGGAGGCACAGGGTAAAACTCCCATTTTGAAAGTTGCCCAAGGCGATCCTCTGACAGGATCCTGGTGAAGGCCAGGAAATAACCAACAGCCCTGGAGGATGTTTACATGGCTAGAAGAGCAGCTGAATGTCTCAAATTCCCCAGGGCTGTGATTATCTCATGAAAAACTCAGAGCTCTATAATGGCTGCTGGCAGGCTATTAAGGGATAATCACTATAATTGGGTCATTATAACTGTGATCTCGCAGAAAGGGGAAAAAAGTACCATTTTTTTTTTGGCAGGAAACAAAACTGGCAATTTGGGGAAAGGCAGCAATTAAGCAGTGAAAAATGACAAGAGATTTACTGAAGTTTAGTTAGAGTAAAATCTTGCTCTGCTTTGTGCGTGTGTGGAGTGGCTGGAGGGGAAAAGGATAGAGGGCAACCGAGCCCAGGAGCTTCATTTTCCCCCATGGATTCCAGCCGAATGCTCTCTTGAGCACTAGGCTGGGGACAGGGGGCTGGCTGAAGGGCTCCAGGGGATGTAGTTTGCAGGCTTTGAGGCCAGTTCCAAACCGTTACAGGGGTGCTATATAAAAGAGATATCTGTAAATTAGTTAGTTAGTAGATAAGGTACCAGTAGATGACGCATAAGAATGTGCAGCATTGTTCCAGAGTTCTGTAGGACCAATAAAACTTCCTTCTGCCCTGTGCTGCAAATGGAGCATTCTGTGCAGCTCTTTACATCAGCTCTTCGCATGGTATCAGATTAAAAGACTTTGTACTGCTTTGATTCTTTGCAGAGGCACTGGCTCGCTTCATCAATGGCTGCGTGCAACATTCCACTCCCTGCTGTAAAGTTCCCCGGCCGTTCCAAAGACTGGTATATATCTGAAATAACGTATATTGCCTCCATCACTGCTGTATCTAATTAATTGAAATGATTCTGTTTCCCTACAGTCTGAGAGATGTTTTGGGGATGTGCTATAAAAAGGAGATGTCTGTAGATATGTAAATAGTTAATAGCGAAGGTGTTGGTAGACTGGACTCCGAAATATGCAGTGTTTGTCCTGGTTTTTATAGGATTTCTGGTTGCTGGACACTGCAAATGGCTTAGTATAGTGAGGACAGGACTTGGCCCTAAGATTTTGTCTCCTGCTTCTATTGTTCCAGGGATTTTGCTATATCTGTGTGCAGTGAACCATGCATCTTATTATATTGGCTTGAGCCAACCTCACCATCAGTGTGTGCAGTGGGAAGGGAGGGGCAGCCGGGCAGAAATGCTGACTGATTGACACTGTGCTGGACATTTTCTATGACCCTTGGGACAGGACACTTCTGAGCATGTTGTTATGAAGCTGGGTGGGGCAGGGACCTGTGGGAAGGTGGGTGTACTTATGTGGACATCACTTGGCCCTGTGGATAGTAAATGTGCTTTGTTTTGGTTTACCTTCTTCCACCTTGCTGGGTGAGGTACTTCACCATCAGCATAGTGTGTCTCTGCTGAACAATCCAGAGCTACCACTGGGATGAATAATTCATAGATTAATCAACCATGACAGAATTTTTTAACAGCTGATCTGAATTCTTCTTTGATTTCAAGCTGTTATATACCTCATTTATTTCAAGAATGGACTGAGCTGATCTGAAAAGACAGGGATTAATTTAATATTTGAAACTGGAGGAATTATGTGATAATGGAATATAAAGCCTTTCCCCTTTAGATCACCTAGTCAGTCCAGCCACAGGTCAGTAGTGGTGGAAAGTTGCTACCATCTGACAATTGTTTCATGGCTGGGGTGCAGTGTGGGGCCTAGTGGGGAGCACACTGGGCTGGGACTCAGGAGAGCTGGGTTCTGCTCCCAGCATTGCTGCAGGGTGATTGTTGCTTCTCATGCCTCAGTTTCCCCATCTGTAACATGGGGATAATGATACTGACCTCCTTTGTAAAGCACTTTGATATCTATGGATTAAAAGTGCTATATAAGAGCTAGGGATTATTATTATTGTAAATGAGCTATTGTCTCAGTCCAGTTGTCAGTATCACGCACAACCACCGTTGGCAATGTTTGGCCCCTTGCTGGTAGTTTTGCATGGGAGACAATTGAATGGGCCATGTAGTCCCTCTTCAGTGCAGCTTTGCAGTATGGGGAAAGATTCCTGTACTATGGAGAGAGGGCTTTGGTCTCCTGGAAAGCCAGGTGACAAGCACTAAATGCACTCATTATAAAGCCATGTGTAGTGAGTTTATTCCTATGCATTTTATAAGTGTTCTT